TTTTGACTAGTACTCTTTCTTTCCTGATATATTTTCCTTGTCCTTGAAGAAAAGCATTGCTTTTTCCTGTTGTGACTACAGGGGTAATCTAATTATTTAGAAACATTTGATACCATATATAAATTCAAAGATAAGTTACATTGTGACTTTTAATACTTAGTTTTGTTTACCCCTCCGTTCATTTACTCTAAGGAAAGGAAAACATTCCTCAATTCTTCAATGTTACTAACCAAAAGTAACCAATCTACTTTGTTGCCCATTTCAATATTTGCTTTGAGAAAATCATGCTTGAAAAGCATATCCAATTTTTGGTCAAACATATATACTACCTTCAAAATCCACTGCAGGATTATTATTAATCTACCTATAGCTAAATTACTTTTAGTCTTCAAATCATAGTAAACAATTCCTATTTCCTGCAAGAAACATGCACTATATTCTAGGTAATGTATTCATCTTAGATAATAACATGTTTTAGATGCTTCAGTTAAACTGGTTTTTTTTTAATCATTACTCTCTAAAACTTTTTTTAAAAACAGCTGGCTATTCAGTGTGTTGCCATGCTGCAGAATTTTAGGCACTACAATATGTTTATAAGCACAAAAATATAAGACAAATTAAATACACAGTGAGTTTTCCAGTTTAGTAAGTTGTCTTTGACAGCTTTCACTCAAGTCGCGTACATTTAAACGTGCAAAAGAATCCCAGCTTGATATCCTGGATCAACTCCAAGCTAATATGAATCAGAAAGCAATAGGGCCACACCTTTAACAAAGTTCAGTCATTGGACATTTCTATATCCAATTTAGAAAAACCCACATGCAAATTTTTCTTAAATGAGTGAATTAGAATCCTCCTATCTTATAAAATAAATCCAAATCAGAACACACAAGAAATTTAAAATGCACCTGGCTCAAGGTCTCTGATTTTGGATCATGTAGTGATTTGCATCATTCTCTATATATGATTATATGGATATTAATACTTATAAAATAAATATGTACATTTAAACTGGACAGGTATCTTTAATAGACCCCCTCTTAAAAGATTCTCAAAAACCTTCCCAAAGTAAATAGGTGCATCAATATAAAATGATCCACCACTTAATCTAATAATAACTAATTAATAGACTGAATATAATAACTAACTACTAGACCAAATATAAATATACTATCCTTGGTGTTCCTGCTTTCCAAAGATATAATTTGGTAAGCTAACCTTACTATTCTAATTGAGACACTTCTATACTGTGATGTATTCTAAAAAACAAATATCAGGACTTAAAAGTTATTTAAAGGACAGCTACTGTAGCAAAAAAAAATTACTTTTGATTGGAACTACTTCTGACAAATTGAGGAGAAGGAAAGTAAAGGAATTTGAGGACAATGTGGGCTCACAGAGCCACTGGTGTGCCTGAGATATATGTATCTGTGCAGATCAGAGCCTTTGATAGTCCCCTTATCTAAGCCCCATTTGGTGGGCATTTAAGTCAGGTTTTCTTCATTAAAAAATAAATTATTAAGCATAAAAAATATAATGGAAAAGAGGCTCCTTAATGCAGTCTCTAAGTCTGAAGATATAAATATAAATGTATTTTTAATGTATTCTTAACTGAATTTTTAGCTGCAGCATTCACACACACAAACACACACGACTGACCAATCACAGTGCAGTAACTCAGTAAAGACAATGGCACATGCTGGCACATGCTAAGGTCATTCTATTCTCATAACAATTCAAACATAAAATGATAAAACTTTATCTTAAATACATGTTAAAATATCCAAATAGTTAATATCAATTTTTTTTCACATTTTTTGGTCATTTTAAAGGTATATAAATTGATGTGATTTTTTTTTTTTCCCTTGGTGAACAATCTGAAAATGAAATCTTGGAAAGATTAAATTCAGGCAAAGTTGAACTTTTCTGAAGAATCAAGTAATGAAAACCTTAAAACCAAAATGTTTAGTGAAATCTAGAAGACTCACCTGTACCTATTTAAGAAGGCATATTTCAAACTAATTTCTTCAGACAAAGATTCAAAGGGAGACAGCTTACAACCTGTGAGAGTTTCATTTCTTATTATATTTTGCAATACATGTGTTTTATGCTGCTAATACAATGCAATTTAAATGATTATTTTACTTGATTAACAAAGGCAACTGTATGAAACAATTTAGTAAAATAACTTGGAAAGATAAAATAATACTAATTGACAGTCAAAGCACAAATTGTTCCTAAAATAACAACTACTTGGTTGCACATTAAGCACATTAAGCTACAAATGCTACTTACATTCCAAAAACAAAACAGCAAATGAGAAACAATAAAGCATATTATGTTTTTGTATGCTAGTGAATCACACATGGTAAATCACCAAAGAGAAGAGTGATTTATGCTCAAATCCAGCCTAGACTTTAATCAATATTTGGGTGTCACATCTCAGAAGGTTGGGGAAGGTAGTAAGGCAAAGAGAGTGGCTAATATTGGTCTCAATAATTTATATGCAACTTCTGTGAAATGTGGTAGATTAAACAAAAAAAACAGCAGACTTAGACTAAATGAAGTTTAAAAATTCTGCCTTAAATGCAAATACAAAAATTTTATGCAAGTAAACTCTGACAAGAAAAAAATAAGCCTGTCTTGTAGTTTATTATACATAATATTTGAAGCATCACAAAATAAAATATTATATGTGCAAATCAAATTAAGTGTCTCAGGGCATTAACCGTGGAGTTCAGAAAGTAAACCATCTTCATCCTCATAACTATGTGCACTTTGTGACAATAATGATTATGATATCACTGGAGACTAACTCAAAGGGAAAAAAAAAAAAACAGGTTTGAAAGATATTATCCAAATAACTTGAGAAGTTGTATCTTGCAATATAATGTGATTAAACAAGGTAAATCCGAGGTGAGCATATTCTTAGATTTTATTTATGTATTAGTTATTAAACCGCAATTTACTAACATTTAAAAAGTGTGCAGAGATAAGTGATGGAACCAAAAAACTTTCACATTTTAGGCCCTACTTTTCTAATTATGCCATATTCTTCTTGAAATGTTATAGGACGAGACATCAGGCTTTACAGGAGCCATTAATAGACTGTAATACAAAAACTTCAAAAGCATAGTCTCTCTTCATTTGAAGTAAGTTTTGAATTTCTCTGTGCTAAGTATCATAATTATCTGTGAGAAGGGAGTCTGTATTGTGTTGAAACTTTCTACATCGAGGCATAAATGCATAAGTCCGTGCCTTTGAATAGCATGCAACGGAGGAAATGTTAAATAAATATGCTATTTTTATTTAAAAAATTTTCTGACAAAAGAAGAGCCAAGAATTGGAAAATATTTTGTACTTCTTATACTAAAACTGCATTCATATATTACCACTGGACAAAAAAAGACATGTAGTCTCTCAATTTGCTGTCAATAGATGGTACTGACTTTTAAAACAAAAGAATACTGTTTGTAAATATATGTATATTTATATAAAATGTCTGATAAAACTAACTGGAATCTTTCCAAGTTAAAAACTCCATAAATCTAGGGCTACGTAAGACCCAAATCACAAGCTGGTTTGGAAGATCCTGAGACAAAATCAACTTCTGGCAATGCTCAAAAAAAAAAAAAAAAAAAAAAAAAAAATCATTTTAGATGACGAAATAGAACAGTCACTTTTTATTACCCGAATTCACAGAAAATTGAATGCTAACCCAAATCTACAAACAAGCAACTGACTCAGAGACTTGACCATGTACATAATTACTTTTCTTTTTTTGTTGTTGTTTAATGGTTACCAGTTAATTAAGTGACCTCTGCTGCAACAGCCAAGTTCATGCAACTGATGTTTAGTTGAAAAATAATAATTAGAGGAAGCTGATCAAGGTCAGACTTTGTCCTCTGACAACTTTTAAATATATTTCCTTATATTTTCTTTCATGCTTTGAGACCCCTATTTTATTTAGCTTTACTATCAAGGAGGTGACAGTCTCTGTTTCATCTCCTTGTGGTAATGACAGATGGCTTCAACATTTATTCTAGTTTTCATAGATAGCACACTGATGCAATAGCCCCAAGCAAATTAAATCCACTGCGAGGTTTGTTACTAACTTACTGAGCCACTTTGAGCAAGTTTATGAACCTTCTTTTCCTTAACATCAAAAATTTTGGTTTTTCAGATTCTCTGGTATCTAAATACTCTTAAGAGACAATAATTAAATACATGTTCTGTAAGAAGCTGAGAGTGCTAAGATTTAATGTTTCTTGCACAGTATGTACATATTATTTTATATAGTTTGCCTTTCTGCACAGTTCCTCTTATCTTTTGCATAAATTATTCCTTTAGATAGTCTCTTAAGTAGCCAGAGGAGAAAGAAACCACCATGAAAGAAATCAATATATATAGATGAATGAAAAAGGATCTTAGTAGTAAGGGCATAAACTGGACTTGAATGAAAAGGGTAATTTTAGTTTTGTAAATTCAAGATAAAAATATTTTAGGTATTGTTTCCAACGCTGAGAAATAAGACACTAACATTTGTAATTATCACTAAAAAATAATGCATCACAATGCAAACAGTATATTTTGGTGAGAGGGAGTTCAATGATAAGTTTTCTATTTTCTTAGTCAGTGGCAGAATTAGGAAAACCTAGGCAGATATCTACAACTACACATCTTCTTCAGTATTTGCATGTGTTTAGGTTTGAGAAAGTCTTGTAGTTGATAAAAGATCAAAATGCAATAGTAAATCAACAAACTTACCACATTCAACTTTAACATGAAATAGAGTTTTGGAATAACACATTTAATTGTAAAGTATTAAAATGAGGTGATTGAAATATTAGAGTACTGATGAGATATTTTTGAAGGGATAAACAGTTTTACTGGATTTAACTTATCTTGGCTCTGAAAGTTTTAACTCCAGAGGCTTTGTTAACCTCAGGGGAAAAATACTTTAAGATTATTTCCTAATAACTTTAAGAATATTCTCCAACCATATGGTGAGGACTTCAATTCCAAAACCTGAAAATTCCAAATTTTCAGAAATTTCTGAAAAAAAACAAAAAAACAAAAAACATAAAACATCAAGAGAATAATTTTAAGAGGTGCAACACTACCTGCTTTAAATTGATTATAACGTTGCAGTCTCTGAAGGGAGTTTTCTCCACCAATTTTTTTGCGTGTTATGTGAAATGGCCATTAGTTATCTAGTACAGTGTGTGCTGTAAGAAACACACAAAGAGGATTCAAGAGAAGAGTGGTTTGGTTACTAAGAAAAGCAGCGCTTCACCAATCTACTGGATAGGTAGGCAATTTCACCACAATCATATCTGAACTGGCTGCAAATTTCGACTAGCATTCTTTATAAAAACTCCGCAACAATTTTCTGCCCTGATTCAACTTGTTTTAACATTAGATTTTTTTGCAAATATGGTATCTTCTGAACACCCAAGGACTCCAATTATCTCCGTAAATGACGTTTAGTGATCAAGATTCCCCCTCAATCTTTACTGCCACCTGTCCAGACTCTTGGGCACGCGTGCGCGTACACACACGCGGGCGCTCAGCATTCACCCAAAAATAGTAGAAATAAAGGTTCAAAACCCAGATATACACCCATGGCCCGATGCAAAGAATGGCAAATAAACACGGAAAAGAGTTTCTGGCTAGGTCAGGGTAAGACATTTACTGGGTTGGAGTTCGAGTCTTTTTCGTCTTCCAGTCTTCCGGGGGCACTAGCTAGAAGTCTTCTCCCAAGGAAGAAATAGCTAGGGGCTTTTCTACTCCGGTTTCCTTCTGGTCTAGTGCTGCGCCTCTTTCCTTGCCGCCTCTGTTTCCCTAGCTCTACTAGGGGCACACACCCAAAAGAAGTAAAACTCCGCTGCTTCTCCCGATCTTTAAACTTATTTGGAGGGTACCGAAGTCGCTGCACACATTTTGCGCGCAGTTCCCACGCGCTCACTTCTAGACTCCAACT